ATGACTTCCTCAGATACGATGTATCTGTATTTAGACTCCACAGACTGGCGATGCAGGGGACTAACATCATCTTCATCTGCACATGTTAAGTGAGAAGCTTCATCGCTGTGGTTTGCATGAATGAGCACAAAATGCATTATTTAGTAAGCAATCACACAGGATGTGTACCAGCCCAACACATCAATGTTTTAAGCCACTACTAATGTTTGCGTGGAATACTGTGACCTTTCAAACCAGCAACGTCTCTACTTTTAAATGTAGAGAGAAAGTATTTGTCTACAATAATCAAAGATCCACGTTTAGTTTTACAAAGCTTTGGTTTTATTGCAAACTCATCCTGTCGAGCCAAACTTTCTTCAAGTCAAACAACTTTATTTTAATGCACAAAATCTCTATAATATTTACACTTGATGTGTTTGTCTAGCCATTTAAAATGGTCAAGTTCTAGACTGTGGCTGTACAAACGTCCTGAATTAGTTCATTCATTCAGTCATTCTCTAAATCTAACAAAAAGACCGTAGGCAGAGCTGGAGGTGGCAGGGTGGAGATTTTGACATTTTCATTGGGAGCGACCAGAATGGACAAGATTAGGCGTGATTACATCAGAGGGACAGCTGAGATTCAGTGGTTTGGAGACAAAGGCTGAGATGGTTTGGACATGTGCAGAAGAGGGACAGTGGAAGCATTTGGCAAAGGGTGATGGAGCCGCCAGGCAAGAGGAAACGAGAAAGAACTGTATATTTAATTCACTTGGAAAAATGGACGCCAACCAAAAGGTGACAGAAAGGTGGAGGAGAGATGGAGACAATAAGATAAGATAATGAGATAGCAACTTTTTTAAAAAAGGTCAGTCAAAACACAGACATGTCCACTCTCTGCATAAGTCTGTATAAGCACATACCTTTGGTGCCTTTGCTTTAAATGGATTAAATGATCTGAGGGTCCTATTATCTGTACAGTATGTCCCTTTGTCACTGTCCTCTAACTTTCCCAATTTTCTCTCTCCTACCACTTGGTCCAGTTCTGAGCATCGGAGAGGGGGGTTACTGGGAGGGCAGTGCCCGTGGCCAGGTGGGCTGGTTTCCAGCCGACTGCGTGGAGGAGATCCCAGCCAAAGCCACAGAGGAGAGGAACTGTAAGTCTAATCACCTGGGGCTGCGTGTTGGTTGGAGGTGGAACCAAGATGTAGGACATGTTCTGTTTGCCATCATGCGTTTTTGTGTGGAGGGAAGGAGGTTAGTTATAAAGAGCAAAAGCTGAGGCTGAATGCTGAGGCAGTGTAATGGCACGTGGCTCCCCCACCCCCCCCCACCCCCCACCCCAGGTCTTGGCTGTATGTGTCTCTGCTCCTCTATCTACTAGCATCTCTGTGTCTTACTGTCTCCTCAGGCAATGGCGCACAACGCTTAGCGCTACATTGCCCTGCTAACTCAGCTGTGATCTGATGTCCTCTGGGTGCGAGCTAATGAACATATCGTGCCATGCTCCATCCCCCGTAAACTTCCAGTGTCTCTTCGTCCCTACTTTTACTTTGTGTGTGTAGTGAAAGGCCTCAGTATGTCTATGAGATGACGCTGGCTTTTTTGTCTTTATGTCTGACCTCTTTTCCTATGTTCCATGATTGATTTCATCCTGTGATTTTCTGCTTATTAATAACATTATCACCCCGACCCCCCCTCTCAATCTCCCATGGTCCTAGGAGTATGTCAGCAGCAAGAGGCAGATGGGAAGCAACTTGTTCTCCTCTTGCTGTGCTGTGGCTGTTTGCCTTCTTCTGTGTGGCTTTTTTTTAAAGCTAAACCCAAGGCCATTGGCAGAGGAAGCTTTTCTCACACTGTGCCACATTTAAATTGCCCCCAGCTCTGCCTGTGAAGAAAGCAGGCAGGGCGAAGAAAGCCAGTGAAAAAATGGGAGCACAGTATAGTGGCCTGCAAAGACTCACTGGGAGGTGGCCAAGGCCATTGGTCACCTCTGTGTATATGTGTGTGCTGAAATTAAGGGACACTGAATGCCTGCATGAAGCCTAATAGTTGGGGCTGATTGGGGCCTTTAGAGAAGTACATTCTTTGGCCGGAGTGATTACCATTTCACAAGTCATCACAGAGGTCTCCAAAGTACAGCATATATCCATCTCAAAGGCACCAAAAGACACCAATTACCAATCAATAATCAAATCAAAGAGTACAAGAACTTTTTTGCTTAGAGTTGATTAGCTTAACTTAGCGCTGAGACCAGAGCCAAAGTGAAATAATCAATCTGGCAGTCCAAGCTTATTATTTGGTATTTACTTGCAACTCCAAGTCAACACCAGTTTGCTTGGTACCCTCCCACCTGACTTAGCCTGACAGATAGACAGTTGGCTTTTTCAAATGTAAGGTTTCAAACAATGTTTTAAACAAAGCTTCATTTCATTGAAGTTTGTTGGCATTTGTTTATGCGCCACTCTCTCAAGGA